TAAAAAGACTTGTTGCACAAAATAATAATAATTCAATTTAAGCATTCAAGAGACACAAATGCATGTACAAGTAAAAGGAAAAAACAATTAATATATATTTAAAAAACAGTAAAATTTAATTTGTTTTTCAAATATGTAGACTAATTCACTGGAACTAACCTGGAAAAATAAATATGAAAGTCAATTAAAATATAAAACATGAGATAAAGTTCTCCTTTTTTTATTTAATTGGTGCATTTTGAGTGTATATATTTAGTGGTTCATATAATTCTGCTTTTATTTCTAATTAGTTTTAGTCCTCTGTACAGAAGAAGACTGATAATCATATATTCGTTCATATGAGGTGTGTTGGAGCAGAGAAACAAGTAAAACATGCAGGGCTGTGGCCCTCCAGGACCAGGACTGACCATGCCTGGTTTAAACGATCATTTATTGGATTGTTCAGCAAGTGAGGCTAGAGATGATTTATACTTTATAACTGTAAGGCACAATAAAACAACTCCCATCATCTTCAATTTATTTAGATCAGACAGACAGTTTTTGGTAGGGATGCACAGACACCAGCATTTTACAAGTACTCACTCGTTCAAAATGCCTTGATACCTGGAAACCATATCACTTTTTTACACGGACGTTCACATTTTAAATGCAACCTCCAACAGACTCCTGTGTGAACGCTTTATGCCGTTGATGCAACATGTACGCACAGAAAATGATCACATTCAGCTCGCCGGAGAAAATTAAACTGCCGTTCAACCCATAGAGGGCAGCACTAAAACCAAATGTTGGAGAATTAAATTTACACGAAACTGTCAGAATTTGCACAAAAATATATAGATAATATTTTTAAAGCCTGATTTAAACTGTTTATCTGCAAAAAACTGGTGATTTGGGGTTTAGTTACTCTTTAAATACTTCAACGTTACAATGTATTTTATGGTAATTCATGTACAATGTCAGGTTTAAAAGATTTCTTGCTGCAGTTAAATTTCATATGTCATAAGATCCAACAGTAAATGGAAACTAGGTGGTGATGCACTTATAGAATCAAGCTCTAAAAGCGGAGCATGATGAGGAAAAAGAAACAGCTGTGGATGCTCTCATTACTTGGTGACAGAGGCAGAGTTTTTCCTAAAAAACATTCTGACACTGCTTGATATTTTGTCAGTGGTTAGCATGGCTAACCCAAAACTCAGCTTCACTGACTCATAATCTGCTGGCTAAAAATATAGCTTCGCTAAACGTGTAAAAATAATTTGTGTAACAGCTGATGGCTAACCATTGAGATGACTGTCACTCAGTCTGCGTCACGTCTTTGGCTACGTTCACACTGCAGGCAAATCCGACCCAAATCCGATTTTTTTGACCCATCTGACTCATTTCCGATTTTTTTACGACAGTCTGAACGAGACAAATCCGGTTTTTTCTAATCCGACCCAGGCCGTTTCAGTATGTGGTTTTAAATCGGATATA